TGGCTCCCAGGATCCTGTAAGTCTCCTTTAACATGTAAAAATCCCTTTATCTCTACCCCCAAAATATATTCTGGCAATCATCCCCTAAGCATATGGCCCCACCGATATGACTGAGGTTTTACTAGACAGTAGTAAATGACCTTTTCCTAACAGCAGCTAGCCCCTCAAGGTCCTGGAAACCTTGCTTCCAAAATTCCTTAGACACTTACGCTATCCCTTAACCCTTCCCAACCTGAGGGTATATAACTAGTCACTCCTCATGACCCCAGTGCAGCTCTTTCTGCCATGGGTCCTGTCCCTGTGCTTTAATAAAACCACCTTTTTTTTGCACCAAAGACATCTCAAGAATTCTTTGTTTTGTGTCAACTCTGTGGTCCACGCCCCTCCGCTGCCACCCCCACCACCCCAAAACTGCATCACTCAACACATTAAAAGAATAAAAGAATGTTTAGTTTTCATTCTTCAGCTCCAAGGCTATATTTGTTTTAAGAACTCAGTAAGTATATGTGTGTGTGTGTGTGTGTGTGTGTGTGTATAAAATGTGTGTGTGTGTAGGTATATAGTATGTGTGTGTGTGTATAGATATATATATATATATACACATATGTATGTATATATGTATATATATAGCACATAGTATATATCATATAGTATATATAGTCTATATATATTATAAATATATTAATATATATTAATCTATATATCTAAATACATAATAGATCTATATTTATAAATATATATAAGTATAAATAATATATATAAATATATTTAATTACTTAATTAATTATGTGATTTAAGTAATTAATTAAAATATATTTAATTATTTAAATGTAAATAAACATATATAAATATATATTTATTACCCTAACCCTATAATGTTATATTGTACTAGGGATATATATATTTATATTTTAGTATATATATATATTTTTTTATGTATATATATATGTGTATATATACTTTATAATATAAAGTATTCAATATATATACAAAACAAATTTAAAAGGGGATATTTGACTCCAAAAATCCCAAAGGGAATTAGATACTAATTAAATTCTTAAAAATCCTAAATTAGTTTTACTCTATTCAGTCTTTCCACTCACTTGATAGTGTCTCTTAATGCACAAAACATTTGAAAAGTTGCTGCTGTGCACTTTATCTACTTTTTCTTTTTTTCCTTGTCTTTGGTGTCCTATCTACCAGTAGGCTTTTAGAAAATAGCTCATAGATAAAGTGTAAGTGACATGGACACATAAATGAATTTAGGTTAGTAAACTACAACTGGTGTAAGGTTTGGGGGTTATCTTATAACCGCATGTACAGTCTTTGTATTTTGATGAGAACGTCTTGATAAAATTAGAGGGAATACATGAAGTAAAATTTCCCTGGGGTTCAGGGGATTGTAACCATTCCTTAAGCTGAAGATGTCCTGATTTCATTTCATTTCATTTCATTTCATTTTGTTTTGTTTTGTTTCGTTCTGTTCTGTTTTGTTTTGGTGAGGAGAAATCATCTATAAATTATCAGTGTAAAATGTTGTGGGTTTTACTGTGTAAACAGTGTTGAACTGTGCTCCCATCCACCATAGAAATTAAAATCAGGGCTTGAAGGGTGTATTTAACCAATGAGAATTGTGTGTCGTGTGTAGTTTTGCCTCAAATGCAATTGACTTCACTGGAATAATCTAATTTATTATTCTTCAGTTGTCCTTCACTTTTATTCTAATCTGAATAGATACCAGAATCTTATGAAATTACCTGATTCTTATGTCTGCTGAGCATTTTTCTAATTGACTACAGCAGCATCACCAAAAGATAAAACGACTTTATTAGTTTGGCAACCTTTGTTCTTTGTTAAACCCATTTAGACTTAACATTGATAGGACCATACCACTTCCTACCGCTTAAACTTGCTTGGTAGGTCGTATTGGTGAAAATGTAGTGGACAACTGTTGAGATGTAATCACTAATGAGAAAGAAAGGTTGCATACATACAAAACAAGAAAGCCTTAACCTTTTATTTACTGGACTTGGGGCGGTGGAAGTGGAAATGGAGTCCCATTTACCCAGCAGCTCAGGGGAGCATATCTTTATTCGCTGGTATGAAAATTCAAGATTGTAAGAGCTGTTAAATATTGTCATAGCCACTTGGTCATAGTAACTGAGAGTGTCAGCCCAAAATTAAAATGAGTAGAAACATCAAAAAATCCACTGGTATTGGAACGATGAAGATGCACAGGCAATCAGCTTGGTTTGTTGCGCAAGGAGAAAGCTCAAAAATGCACTCAAAGAAACATTAGGTAAATTATTGACATCGTGTTGCAGAGGTAAACTGTGACTCCCTCTTCCACCACCCCTCTATTTTTGTAAGAAAGATTGTTAAAAGCTCATGTCTCTTTTGTTCTACTTTGGTACATGGATTACCAATTCTCTTTCTTCCTCCACAGGTGGGGTTATTTCCATCCCTTTTGTTAGTTACTAAAGCAATGAAGAAATATTTCAAATATTCCAATATGGCAAGTACATGCCAGCCACTATTCTAGAAGCTGGAAATTCAAAAGCAGTGAAATCTCTCTTTTCCATTTAAATTTTATTGACTGCTCCCCCACCCTCCCTGATGTAGATATTACTTCGTATAATGATATAGATATGTGTGAGGCCCTGTTTGCCTTTCTTTGGATAGGGGTGGGGTACAGTTAAACAAACATAACATAAAATTCATCGTATTCATTTTAACTATTTTTCTTTCTTTCTTTCTTTCTTTCTTTCTTTCTTTCTTTCTTTCTTTCTTTCTTTCTTTCTTTCTTTCTTTCTTTCTTTCTTTCTTTCTTTCTTTCTTTCTTTATATGTTTATTTATTTTTGAGAGAGAGAGACAGACAGAGCATGAGTGGGGGAGGGGCAGAGAGAGAGAGAGGGAGACACAGAATCCGAAGCAGGCTGCAGGCTCCAGGCTCTGAGCTGTCAGCACAGGGCCTGACACGGGGTTTAAACTTGTGAACTGAGAGACCATGACCTGAGTGGAAGTTGGACCCTCAACTGACTGAGCCACGCGGGCACCCCTCATTTTAACTATTTAAAGTGTACAATTCAGTGGCCTTAAGAGCATGAGCAACGTTGCTCAACCATCTCCAGTGTCTAGTTCCAGAAAATTTCCTCATCCCAGAAGGAACACCTTACAACCTTTATTGGTTACTCCTGGTGCCTTGTCCCCCTTCTCCAGATGTTGACAAGCGCTAATCCGGTTCCTGGCTCTATGAATTTGCCTCTTGTGAGTATTTCACATAAACAAAAACAGTGAGTGTGGAGCCTGTTTTCTGCTTTCTTTCTTTCAGACAGGCTGATGTTTTCAACGTTCATCTGTGTTGCAGTGTGTATCACTTTCGGCCTTTCAATTTCAATTTTGAAATGGCATGTTCTTTTCTCCTATGTGAAATGATTTCCAGCTTTACAATATCTGCTCCTGTGTATGAGTGTAATCTAAATGTTTGATTCTGTGCCAAGAAATCTATTTTAAATTGGGTCAGGTGACAACTAGATTCCCATTTTATTTGGATCTGGAATACTGAACTTCAGTAGACAAGTAAGATACAAACTATGTGGCTCATACTCGTCTTTTCACTGACTAAAGTTAAGTTTTGCTTGGAATGTTTGTATTAGTGCACCATCACATTTAGTGCATAAATCACATTTGGCTATGTGGATTATCTGCGTGTGACGAAGGAATCAAATAATTAATATCCTTAGGCATTTTGGCATCATTCTTAGTCAGTCTTGGTGAGACCTTGTTTTGTTTGTTTGTTTGTTTGGGGTGTTTGTTTGTTTGTTTGTTTGTTTGTTTTTTAACAGGCTGTGCCCTGTGCAATCTATAGTTGTTACTCCCATTTTGCAAATATAGTTTTAAGGCTTGCTTGGGGAAGTTCCCGCCTAAGGTATCCTAAGTTTTAGGATAACTTCCATATCCACCTTCAGAACTTACTTGGAATTCTCTTATTTCACTTGGTAGACCATGACTGTTTACTTTTGTGCTAAGGTTGAAGTAAAATATAGAAGATGATAAGTTGGTGGCTCTAATTTAGAAATTTAGTTCATATTTGTAAAGTCTTTTTTGTTTTGATCATTAGTTATGTGAAACTGCAGAAGAGAGTGAGTCAGGTATAAGTGTATAAGTGCACAGTCTATGTAAAGAAATCAGTCTCTGAAATGTTACGTCAGTGCCACTGGAATTGCTTGAGTTCCAGGGTCATCTGTTGGTTGTTGGTGGTGGTGGTGTTGGTGTTGGTTTGTTTGTCTTGTTTGCTTTTTTAATAGAACAATTTTTATATCTAATTTTAGTTGTCGCAAAGAGTGGCCATTAAATGTTGGGTATGAAACATATATATTTTGCATTCTGTTAATCTTCAGCATAGACAGTAAAAGCAGTATTCCCAGTTGTTTGGCAGTGGGAAACTGACATCAAGTTTTGAACTTTAAGTAGAAGTGAACAAACGCGGTGATGCGTAACATGCGTTCAATATCCTGAATGTGTTTTTAAGGCTAACAGAATTAGGTTATCGTTAAACTTTGTGTTTGAAACATAACTTTCACGTATATCCAGTTCGCATCAGTTAGATGTACATTCGTCCTTTGATTGAAAGGGATAATAAAATGAATGAATAACAAAGTTTGCTTCGATTCGTAAAGAGTGGCATAGAGACTTAAGCGTGGCGGATTAGATGCAAAGCACACAGGCAGTGAGCCGAGCATGAACCTTATTTCGAAGTCAGCAGGAGAATGGTAGGTTGGGCTTCGGCTGTGGCCGGCGAGGGGTGGGGGGGGGGGTGGGGTGGTGGGGGTGGGCGGGTTTGAGGTGAGCTGCTGGGGCGGAGAAATGAGTACTTTGCTAAGAAAAGTTAGAGCACGAAAGTCTCTGCTAGAAACAACCTTCAACGGTTAGATAATTCTCGTAACGTTTACACCTTCGAACTTTGCTACCCACCAACCCCCCTTTTTTAACGCTGCAATTTTATGCTTCTGGTATGTTGAGAGTATTGAGCAGCGATGAGCACCGTGAGGCGGTACAGCAACAAAATATCCTCGCTGTGGAGGGAACCTCTTGCGAACTTTGCACGGAGAGTCCTACCTCCAATTACCGGTGTGAAACCGGAGGAAAGGGTAGAGACCGCGGTCAGGACCGCGTCAAACGACCCATGAACGCATTCATGGTGTGGTCTCGAGACCAAAGGCGCAAGGTGGCTCTAGAGAATCCCCAAACGCAAAACTCAGAGATCAGCAAGCAGCTGGGGTACCAGTGGAAAAGGCTTACAGAAGCCGAAAAATGGCCGTTCTTCGAGGAGGCACAGAGACTACAGGCGCTGCACCGAGAGAAATACCCGGGCTATAAATACCGACCTCGTCGGAAGGCCACGCCAGAGAAAAGTGACAAATTGCTCCCCGCAGACCCCTCGTCCACACTCTGTAGTCAGCTGCACGCGGGAGAGAGGTTGTACGCCTTCCCCTACAAGGACGGCTGTACGAAGGCTGCACACTCACGAATGAAGGACCAGTTATACTCCTCCTCGGAACCCATGAGCATAACCAGCTCGCTGCTGGAACCGGGACCTCACAGGACCTCCACAACCCTCCAAGACAGTCCTGAAGACTTGCCTATGCAGCTCTCCGCGGATGCTCCCCTTTGTCGTAACTTAGAGCTGGGAGTTTCTGAGGCTTACTTTGCATGGTGATTTCCTTAGTGTCGCTACCCAAGGCCTTATTCATCTTAACTGTACTATTATTTCCTCTGTCACTTAATTTCAAAATAAAGCATGTACACATGCTTAACAGATAAAGAATTTACACGGCGTTGTCTACTGATCCAGCCTGGGTTTACAGCTGCTTAACTTGGCAAGAGAGCACCTTGACACTACTGAAACTGCTTGATTTCCAAGACGGCCTGTGTGTGGTTTAACAGAACAACTGTCGTATCCACTTTTCCGCAGATTGGGTACTAAACTAATAGCTGCAAGTATATATTGATAACCTGATAATCGTCAGCATAGATAACAGAATCTTCATTCTGTATTTTAAATCCTGTGACTCAAAAATACACTAATGAGAAACACGGACAAAATTGTCTTATAGAAAAAAATGTACTTCCATGGAAAACTTCGTATCCTTTCAAGGAGTGCTGTGTACGCAGTCTGTTCACTGCTCTCTCAGGTACTTTCCCCGACTTTGTAAACCCCAGATAATTAACGACTGGATATGTAAATTACTTCTTCTTTGCTAGTTTTTATTACATCCCATCCCTCCTGTGGAAAAACCGGTTTGGCCGCCCTCGGCAATTCAATTCCTCTCCTCCACACGTATCTGCGCGTTTTCGTGTCCACTTGGAACCAGTGTTATCATCTCTCTGGTAAAATAAAACGTCTATTTAACTCGTGTTCGTTTTTATATCTCTATGGCACCCACGCTTTGATTCTTTTTCTGAAACTTTTCTTCTAACAATGTACTTGTTTCCACCCCTACCTGACACATGTACACATATATATATACACACACACTTATGTGTGTGTGTGTATATATATGTGTGTGTGTACATGTGTGTGTATATATGTGTGTGTGTATATATTTGTGTATATATATATATATATATACACACACACACATGTATACATGTGTATAAATATATACATACATACATATATATGTATACACACACACATGTAAGGTAGAGACACAATGGTGAGAATACGAAGTATTCAGATTATTGGGGCAGTGAGATGGAAGGGGTAGACCCAATCGAGCTAATCTGGTGTAAATGTCAGTGAAAACTTAAATGAAAGGCATTATAAATTTTACGTATAGACTATAATAGAAAACTGGCAGTTTGCAAAGAAAACCATCACTTTTTAAAATAAAAAAAAATTGATGGCCAAAATATGTATCATATATCAAAGTCAATTTTCCAATACATATATTCCAAAACTTTAAAAAAACAATGCTTCAAATAATAAAGCTCAGACCTAAAATAGTATGTATATGTTAGAGCTAAATGTTACATTTTTAAAAGAAAGTTCAAGACAAACAAAAGGAGTTAACTAGGTAGACTAATTTGTTGCAGAAACAATATTGCTTGATCCGAGCTTTATGCCGAATAAATGACAAATATATATTGCAGTATCTTTGAAACGACTTCCTGAACTTCTTTGTATTTTTAAAACATTTATATACATTAAACATGTACACATGTCTCTCTGTCCTCTCTCTCTCTCTCTCTCTCTCTCTCTCTCTCTCTCTCTCTCTCTCTCTCTCCGTGTATATATGTGTGTGTGTGTGTGTGTGTGTGTGTGTGTGTGTGTGTGTGTGTGTGTATGTGTGTATATACATGTGTATATACACACACATATTGATATATATTTTACATATTCATATTTATATTAAAGTGTTTTCTATTTAAAACCTCGCTTTCTACATGTTGTCCATACATAAACTCTGCTCTCACCTTCATCACTGATGGGGTTTTGGGGGTGATGGGGCCGGGGGCGGGGGAGGGTGGGGGGGATTCAGAGCTGACAGCCAAGAAAGAATTCTTGAAGACCTTTGCGAAAAAGGTCATTTTGTTAAAGCAGGAGGACAGGACCCTTAGGTAGAAAGAGCTGCACTGGGGTCCAGAAGGGTAACTGATTATATACCCTCAGGTTGGGAGGGGGTCAGGGACAACATAAGTGTCTAAGGAATTTTGGAAGCAAGGTTTCCAGGACCTGGAGGGGCTAGCTGCTCTTAGGAAAATCACCATTTATTACGGTTTAGTAAAACCTCACTCATGAGATCCTTCAGATGTTTATCAGGGGCCATTAGCTTGGAGTATGATTCCCAGCATGTATCTTGGGGGAATTGAGATGAAGGAAGTTTCCAAAGGAATTTTTTTTTTTTAATTTTTTTTTTTGAACGTTTATTTATTTTTGGGACAGAGACAGAGCATGAACGGGGGAGGGGCAGAGAGAGAGGGAGACACAGAATCAGAAACAGGCTCCAGGCTCTGAGCCATCAGCCCAGAGCCCGACGCGGGGCTCGAACTCACGGACCGCGATATCGTGACCTGGCTGAAGTCAGACGCTTAACCAACTGCGCCACCCAGGCGCCCCCAAAGGAATTTTTAGATGTTAAAGTAGATTTACTGGATCTGGGAGGGGAGGGGGTCAGGATAATGTTAAGCCAAGATACCCTTATGCCCCTAGCAAAGTGTCATCATAGAGGCAGCTGAACTCCTAGAGGGAGGTCACTCTGTCTGTTCCAAGGACTTGCCAATGAGCTGCAGGCAGTAAGGGAATTTAAATTTTTCATTTGCCTTAGTTTCCCACATCACCATGGCAAGCACTTAAACCCCTTTCCTTTCTTCTTGGGTAGCCAGGAGTGCCTGAGGAATATCACACATATTCCACCTGAGGGTGGGGGGTGGGGCACAGGTCAGGGTTGAGGGGGTGGGGAATGCTGGCTTGTGCTTTGCCCCCAGCTTACCCCATGCTCCCTCATCAATTACCGTTGGGTTAATTTTCCTTTTCTTGAACTTCAATAAATGAAAATGCAAAATATCATGTCTGGATTCTTCTGCCTACCATAATTTCACTGGCATTCAGTGCATTTGTTTTAGAAATTGCTGTGATTATTTCATCCTACTTTTCATGGACACGTGAATAAACGTTTTCTACCTTTAGTCATTAAAAATAGCACTGCTCTTCGTACATTCATTTACGTGTACATGGGAGAGTATTTACATGCATTTCCGAGGACTGTGTATCCCAGACAGGAATTGCTGCATATATGTATTTTTAGCAGGTTTTTTTTTTTTTAAAGCAAATAGCCATACCAAGTATTCTTCTATTTTCTAATGGACATCTGCTATATTTTAAAATGGCAACATTTAAGAAATATTTAGACAGACAAAAGGACCAAACTAGGGCATGCCCTCTAGATGTCATCTGGATTTGACCCCTTTCTCTGCCACTTGCTGGGCCTGACCTTAGACAATTTACTTTACGTGTCTGGCCTTCAATTTTCTTACCGTTAATGTTAAGTAACGATATGATGATCATGATCACGATGCTGATGCTGATGATGGTAACAACAATAATGTAACAATAACAACAAAACCTACCTCACTGGAATGTGAAGAGTAAATAAGGTATATACAGATCCAGTGAGAGAATGTATACAAAGTACTTAGAACAGAAGTCTGCATTGGTAAAGGATTAACTATTAGTTATTATTAACATGAGTGTAATTGCTCCATCTAGAAATATTTTAGTGGAAGAGTCATGTTGATATCCATCATTGATGTATTTAAATAGATACTCATTCACTAACCCATCGCTTTTAATAGTTAGAGTTTTCTCACTGATATGAAATGTCACTTTATCATATACTCATTGTCCATGTGTACGTAGATCTGTTTCTGACCCTTAACTTAAATCAACAGAGGATTCTAATATTTTAATTAATTAACATTTGATTTCATGTTGGGTTGCTTAAAAACAAAAACAGAAAGTCAGGTATGACCTTACGTGAGATACCACACACAGTTCTTAAATTTCTAGGTCGACATGTTAGAACAAATGCTTATAGCTGAGTAACTACCATCCCAATCAGGGTATAGAATATCTCCATCATCCCTTGAACCCTAAAATTTCCCTGTACTGCTGTGTAGTCAATTTCCTCCACGAATGGCATAATTTCGATCATTGAGAGATTAGTCTTGCCTGAGTTTGAGCTTCAGGTAAAGAGAACCATGGAGTTCTCTTTAATTAGTTAGTAATTAATTAGTTAGTTGGTTAGTTAGTTACTTACTTAGTTAGTTAATTAAAGTTTGTATCAATCTACCACAGTTTGTGTGAACTTGCTGATGGACGTTTGGGTTGTTTTCAGTTTGAGGGTTTAATTAATACAGCTGCTTTGAACAGTTTAGTTCAAATGTCTGAGTGAACCTAAGTTTTCAGTTCCCTTGGGCAACTCGTTAGGGGTGAAATTTCTGGGCCATGGGATAGCTGTATGGCTAACGCTGTGAGAAACCTTCCCAAGATTTTCCCAGACCTGTTGTGCCATTTCACATTTGCACCAGCAATGAGATTTCCATATGTGCTCATGAAAATGCTCAGCAAAATTTGGAGTTATTTGGTCTCCTAATGTTTAACCATAAAAGGAACGTGTGTAATGATTAATTAAAATAGCGGTCAACCTCACCTTTATTTTCTGCCTGAGCAAGGGTCCCGTCATTACTCTTCCTCCTTGGAATTTGTAGGCTATATAGGGTTTTGTTTTGTTTTAAGTGTGTTGGTACTTTTTGAAATGTCTGTGCTGAATGAAATGACCAGAAAATTCTGCCAGTATTTTCACTGGGAGCACAAAAAACTGGTAGATTAAATAACAGAGATCAGCAAAACAACAGGAATGTATGGTGAAAACACAAAGAGTGGTTCTTGCCTGGTGTTTACATAAGGTGTTCTTAGTATTTGTCCAGTAACTGTGAGACTGCGGAAAAATAAAATTGCCTTTTCCTTTATTGAGAAAAAGGAAGGCCCCTCTTGCCCTCCTGTTCCTCAGAGCATTCCCTTTAGACTTGTAAATTCTTTCTCTGCTCTTCTGTTGAGATGTATGTAAATCTTTTTAAGAGCTAAATAAGCCCTCTTAGCAGTGTGGCAATCTTGATGGCCTTGGAGTGGACTCTCTTAATGGCCTTGGAGCCTTC